TCATTAATATGAATAAAAAACTATGAAAAAGAAATGAACATTTCACAAAGTTATAGAAAATGGAAATAATATATGAAAAACTGTTCAATATCTCTGATCATTACAGAAATGCAAATTAAATGAATACCAACATTCCATCTTATACTACAATGAATAGCAATCATCAAGAACGCTAAAACTAATAAATTCTGGTGAGATCGATATCCAAAAGGAAACATTAGTTTGAACACAATTAGTTTGACACAATTTGAAAAAAAAAAGATGACAGGCAGTGTCTAATGCTGAATAACAGATATATTTATAGACACCAGAAACAAGTTTTATGGACTCGACACAAGTTACAAAGAAGAGCATCTGATCACCATAGAAGTCTAAGATGGCAAAGTCAAGGTGACAAATCTGAAAAGTGAACAGATGGAGTTCTTATATACTTATATGCTTGTACAGAATTTCTGCACAAGATACTCTCTGTCCATTTATTGTCTCCTGTTCCAATGTGTACTGTACCCAGAGTCATAAAATTTGTCAGAAGTAAATTTTCGAACATTTATCATGACACCTTTTGAAAGAACTGTTCATCTTATTATAGTAGGAAATACATATACTTTAATAAGGAAAAGAAAAAGATTGAAGAGGGCTGGCGAGATAGGTCACTTGACTAAAGTGCCTGCTTAGGCAAGTGCAGGCACTGCTGGTTCATCCCCTGCACCACATGCTGTGTTAGCCCCACCTATAGGGTGGGCTGAGCCTGCCAGAGTCTGGGAGTAGTGGCTCATGCCTGTAATATCAGCACTGGGGAGTCTGAAAGCAGGAGGATCACCATGAGTTTGAGCTTCACAGTGAGACCTTGCAACAACCAAATACATTTAAAAAACAAATTGATTCTAACCCTCTTTGTAATTCTTCTAGTTAATTTATTCAGGGTAAACTTCTAGCACCTTAGGCTGGGCATTTGTTTCTTGAGATAAAGTGTTGATGATGCTTTCAATACAATATTTCAGATCCTTCAGAAAAGGTTTATGACCCAAACTCAGAAGAGTTACCAGCTTTGAGCAACAATTCCCTGAGCAGAAGTCAGATTTCTTCAGATTTCACCAGTTCCTCTTATGGGAAGGGCCCCTATGGAGTTGAGGAATTAAGGTAAATTAAGCCTGCAGTTTGTACATAAAGACAGGGCATAGTAAAATTTGGACAAGTCCCAATTAGTTATTTTGCTGTATAAAGAATAATTGCTCTCATGTGCATAATTTAGGTGACCATTCTTTATAAAATGCTTGGGGTTTTTACAGACCTATTACCAAGATATAGTAAGTGGCTTATAGAGTTGTTATTCTCATGTGAAGAGATAGCTCTCTGCTGAGCAATATATGTCATAAAATGAAAATACACCTGGACTTTGATAATCTTTCTACATTTTTATACCAAAAGACAATTGTATTACTTGATTTAATTGATGCAATAAATTTCAATATTTTGCAATAATAAAGTCTTACCCAATGTAAAATTTTTAGAAAAGAATTTTTCCCTAAAACTGAACATACATTATTAACAATATTTTAATATGTATTGTTTCATTATTCCTCATGTTGAAATAATGACAGGGTAGTGATCTGTTTATAAGGAAAGTAGGTCATACTAATAAGTGATTCAGAAAAGGTAATATATCATGTTTGTCTATTATTGACATACCAGATGTTTGGAGAAGGGAGATGTGGCTTTTCAGAGAGACCAAAACAGCTGTGAAATATAACCCTTTGAATTGTAAGTTCCTTTGATTTGTTTCAAGCCTAATAGTCCTATAAAATGGAATCAAGATTGTTACTTTATCTTTCTGGAGGAAATCATTTAGCCATTATTTTTGGAGTTGAATTCACAACACTACATACAGTTATTTTAAAAAGGGACGGCTATCTTTCTGGAAAAGCATGAAGCAGGATTAAGGCCATTTACTATGCAGTACTAAAAACCCAAGTATTCTGTTCAGAAAATTGCATGTGAAGTGCTACAGTCAAGTTTCAGCGACCCATGCCAGTTACATAGTAGAACCAGACCCCACAATGAAATCCCATCAAATCAAAATAAATCTCAAATTTCTTTAGTGTTGTATAAACAAACCCAAATGGGTGTTTAAAAAGACCAATAAGGTTAATATTTTTTTCGTAAAAAGTTATTGAAAGTAAAGTAAACCTAGCTGTCTTCCACCATCATCTCATACAAGAAAGGGTATTAAATGCTAAAAATGTAAGGAAAGCATAAAACAAGAGCGAAATGTAACATGCTGCAGAAAATCACTGCCCTCTTCTTCTCTTTTCTTCTTGGGTGAATGAAAACTGTCAGCTATACATGCGCCAGTGCACTGTCCAGCATGTACTAACTGCTGAGTTAGCTTGTTTCAGACTTGAAAAAATAATCCTAATCTAGTCATATTCATTACAGGGTGAAATATATCAGATTCAGTTTCAGTACCAAAATAAGTTTAGTTACATACAGTGGCTGAAAATTTAGGTAATTTTGTAATCTGAGTGGCACAGGCACCTGGCTGTTGCCCCACACTACCTGTGCTCCTAACCTCAGACGCCCGTGTGCTAGAGCGGCTGCCAGTCCTGACCTCCACAAAATGCCATAGAATAAAATAACAAACAATTGTCATTAATTTTAGTTTTGACATGTTCCCAACTTACATTCCTCATAATCCTAATTTACTATCCATAAAAGAGGTGATTTATCTGACAGTCTATTCCCTTGGACTCTATTAAACAGCCAATGCATGGTCAGTATCCTTAATGATGACCTCAAGGCTCTGTGAGTTGCTGAAAGACCTTTTGAATCAGCAGGGAAGGGAACAGCCAGAGCCCATAAAATCTTCTCTCCTTGTATTCATTGTGATCTCATTCCTTGGGAGAGGGAGAATGTTGAGAAATTCTCATTAAAAGGGAACTTGGTACACTGAACACAGTGAAAATTGTGGCCCCATACTGATAGAGCACCCTCACATCTGCCTGCTTCCAATGACTTCAACCTATGTAGTATTGATCAGAAGACAAATGAAAGATGAACTTGGTTGTGTATATTGTGTATTGATCTCTTAATGCATTTTCAGCTCTTCTGGAGCAGATACCAAAATTCCATCTTTGCTGTCATTTTCTGAGAGCCGTAAAGATGAAGAGAAAGAAGATTTTCTTGACAAGCAACTTGTCATCACACCATCATGGTCAAAGAGTATTTAAAGATCACTTGTTCATCTTTTCCATTTTGTACTTGGAGTAAAGCAAACAACAGAAAAAAGTTACTGATCACCTGTCCAAGTGCTGGATATTTTGATTATTAATGTCTCTCTGATGGTTCAAGGCTTGCAAACAAATAAAAATTAGTGAAATTACAAGTTTAAGGGCTTTTGCCTCAAATAATAGCATTGCATTTCAGATACTAATTTCTATTTCAGATTACTTTAGCAAAATTTTATAAATTCTAAGGAATAATATTTATAACTATCTGTATAAAACCTACTGTAGGAAAGAACATGATAATATTTAGAGTAATACTTCACTGTTTCACTATATTGTAAGAAATTATGTCATTATGAAGAGTATATATTTGATGGCCACATCAGAGTAGTCACAGACATGAATTGAAACTCTAATTTCAGTGTTTTTTCCATTAGGCCTACTAGAATATTTATAGTACTTCTGCAAAATTCAAAACCTAATTCTAGGAGAAGAAAAAAAGAAGACTAAAATAAATTGGACACAAAATCTGCCTTGCTCTGTCTAGGAGCACTTCAAAACATCTCATTTTTAGAAGACCAATTTCATGGTTACCTCCTTCCCTCTACCCCCACTCCCGCTCTACACACACACACACACACACACACACACACACACACTCAGACATGCATCCTGTTGATTCTGTTTCTCAGAAGAACCCTCATAATGACAATTTGAAGGACTGTTGAGCAATACTCAGGCAATAATTCAGTGGAACTGCTTTACTGGTTTCTCTAAGTGATCCTGGGTTATACACAATTTTTTGTATAATGTCATAATTCAAGAGTTTAAGAAAGGGTGAGCATGGGGGTTAGTTTTCTGGCTGTCATGTTGTGATATTAAAAGATAGTTTTCTTTAAGGAATTTTGAAATTTATCAAAAAAATATTTCTGAAGGTTCAGTACAGTTTCCCTACAAGATAGCCATGCCCTAAGAGTTCAAACTCTTTGTCCTCAATGTGTGCCTACATAGTAACCATGTTACACAAGACTTATGATTATTTAATGTAACTTTGTCTTTAACAATTTTCTATGACATCAATAAATTATCTTGTAATTCTCACAGTTCTGATAGGATAACAAGTGATGAAGAAACTTAGAGCCATCATTGTGTCTTTCAATAAAGAATGTCCTTTATGGAAAATGAAATGTATATGGACAATAGACAACCAAAATATCAGTCATATTGTCTGAACAAGATGTGCAGAAGCACCTTCCAAAGCAGTTTGACTCCTTGATAATTGTCACTTTGCTCTCATCACTATGTCTCCTCTACTCCCAGACATAAGTGACAGGGAGTCATTGATGAGTCTTCATTATTTGTTTCAAAACTCTCTGTGGCATTTGTTTTCTCAAAGAATATAAAATAGTGATAGAAAAGAAAAGCGTTAGAAATGATACAAAATTTCACCAAAGTAATAGGAATTTAACAATGGCTGCTGCTTTGGATGATGTTATCATCCAACTAGTTGTTCAGTTTACCAGATACAAACGTGCCAGAATGGTCTAAAACAAAAATAAAAACAAAATTCGAAAAAAGTGGTAAGAAATTTAAAGAAAAAAATAATAAGAATAAAAACAACAACAGAAAAATTTAAATATTAACTGTGCCTTTCAAAGGACTAGTAGAAATTGGCAGTACAGTTATCCAAACCATGTTGCATATATACATAAATATATCTCTTTCCCTTCTTTTATTTGTCCTTTTCCTCAACTCAGTTTTTCCTTCCCCTTGACCAACGTCTTTTCTGTTCAAGGTATCTATTGTAACTTTCAGATTTTAATTAGTCTTTCAGGTCTTCACACTAGTGAGACAATATGATGTTTGTACATGTGGGCCTGATTTATTTCACTTATGAATCTAGTCTCCAGTTGCATCCATTCTACTACAAATGCCTCAAATGTATCTCTTTTATACTTGAATAATACTTTGGTGTGGAAAAGTACCATATCTTTATGAGGTTACTTGCTATCTTAATTTCAGTATCCATGGTTAAAATGGTGATTACTTATTATTTGTTAGCATAGGAACATCACTTTAACATGTCTTCTCAGTTTCAAACTTTCTTGGTTCTCATTTGCTCTGAGATATCTTATTCTCTTCTGCTGAAGAAGAAAATTATTCTTTTTGATATTATGCAAAAATTTAAATGTTTTCTCATAGTTCTAAGCATTTTTTGTCTTGTTAAAGAAGGATTGGACCATGCCTAACCCTCTGTCTACACATTACTTCATTCTTACACAAATAGGCTCAGAAGATGATTTGTTATGATCCCACTACTTTTTACAGCCTAAAAACTTTGAAATAAATTAATTGTCAGATAATTAATTGTCATCTACCCATATCTATCCCAACTTTGAGAAAAAGTATGTGGTACACAGACTTTGTCACTGGACTTCCAATATGATATATTCTTTTCCCAATATGGTATTGAAGTCAAACACAAGGAAGGTTCTCTGTGATGGAGCAGAGCCAACTCCTGCCATTATTTGCTTTCCACAGCCACCCATTTAGAAGAGTTCCTTTGTTCTATGGCTGAAAGTCTAAGGAAGAATGAAAACTGCAGAAGACTAGAGCCTTTGCCTGAAGCAGCTTCAATGTGTTCTGTCATTTGTAAACTCTCACTTTAAATTACACAGAAAGACTTGCATCTAGTTCTAACCATGGAACTGATAGACTAACGTTTTTCAGTAGACTCTCAACCATATTCGTGTACTTAAGTTACTGCTTATTCCGTGAGCAGGTCCCGGATAAATGATCATATGGTGTTACATGCAGTACAGCCTTGGTTGTTTATATCCAGACTTACATAATTCTGTTATAGTCATGTGAATTTTTCTAATTTTACATTCATGGGAATTTATGTGACAGAAGCACAGCGACACTGAATTGTATCTTATGACTTTGATATATTATTTGTTGTCCACCAAAGCTCTTTGTATCTGCTGTACTCTCAAACCCATATCATAAGCCACTGGTATCTGATGTCTATCACATCATGTAAGGCCATGTTGTACATGTGATGGACACAGAAAACATTTCTTGAATGCATGAAATTTTCCAAATGCCTTAGCTTCTGTTCTGTGGTGCTCAGATATTTTAAATAATGCATTGGGTCAGCAAAAGCCAATCTCTCTGTCTTCATAGTTTCATGTTTTTTGGAAAGATCTTAAGCAGTGCTCATCACATACAGGTCTGGGAACAGGCTTGTCCTCATGGTGCAGGTCTCAAAGGGCACCGTCCCCTGGAGATAGCTCTCATTTCTACCCAGATTAATCTCTCTCATCTGTTTCCTTTATTTTTTCTCTTACCTTTTCCCCCTCCATGAACAAATAACTCATATATTTGTGTGTTTTTGAAGATATGTTTGCAACTGGACTATAAATTTCAAGTAAGGATTATGACTACCTTGTTTACCATCATACACAATCCCAGTAGATGCCTAGCTGTCAGGAGGTTATTAGTGAAAGGATGAGTGTGTGGGACCCAGATGGTGTTCTTAGTCTCTGAATGGAGAGGACATAATACAGGTAGTGGGGGCAATGCAACTTCTCTCACCTGGTTAGCAGATATGTTGTGAGAAGTCATGAATGTGAAAATCACCTTTGAACCTAGAAAGGACTTTGATATACATTTTATAATTTTTCTTGAATTTATGCCATTCATTGAATATAGAAACAAATTCATCATAAATCATTAAATATATATTGGGTCAAGTAGACATAAATGACATACTAAAATCCCTCAGGTGCATAGTTGAGTTCTGCTTTCAGAAACTGAACAACTGGATTGAATAATATATAATGCTTATATTTATGTTAAAAATTAAGTGACTAAATTTATTTTATTAAAATGTTTCCAAAAATACTGTTTCATGTGCCCATAGTTTTGTCTATCAAGCTTACATTTCTAAAATAATAAAATATATCAGCACTGTCTTAACACCCTCTGCATTTTGCTTCCACAGAGGAAAATCTTTTAAACATACTATTTGTACGGCCCAAAACCTGTTTTCATAGGATATACTTTTTCATCATAATTTTTATTCCTGGTTATTTATTACTAACCACATTTGCATGAAAACAATGTTCATTTCCTCAGAGTGCATCTATGCCTAAAGTCATAATTCTTTGTCAGTGCCACCCTGATTGTTTGCTGGGTAAATGATTATGATGTTGTCAACAGATCATGACTTTAGCTGGAGAATAACCAGAAGGCAAAGATGAACTCTAAGGAAATAAAGAGCCTCCCTTTTTTAAGCACAAATGTCTTCTGTAGTTAAGGAAAAAGAGATATTTTTAACGTTCTCCATGAGGTAGCAGGTACATTTAAACTGACACGAATTAATTGATTGATAGAGTTTCTTTTACAATGCACATAGTACACATAATAGTTAGAGGATCATAGTGTTGAGAGGCATTTCTGTACTTTTGCTTTTGCCTGAGAGAAGAGATATGTACGTTTCCATCTAGAAAAATATATTGTGTCGATGGAAATGGTTTTTTAAAGATTTCTAAGAGTGTGGAAGGAATGAACTTCATCCCTAAGTTATAATTTATTAAGCTTTCTATGTTTAACATAACTGTGAAAGAAATGTTTTAAGAAATTTTTATGTATTTTTTTTACATTTTCCATATAGTTGTTCTACTTTTCAAAGGACATTTGCTGTTCATTTAGAGGATGACAATTTTACTGAATCGCTCTGTATTTAAAATATGAGAACTGGATTCACAGTCAAGCAATGTACAAATGCTCTTTTTATTGTTTGTGAAACATTCATCACATTTACTTTCTCTTCTGACCTCCCACCCTGGAACCCTTAAAGAATATTTTGTGCTTAAGCTACTAAACCAGTTAAGATTTGCTTTAAGGCTTTGAAAAACACCAAATAACAGTATAAAAAAGGTAGTTTACTTCGATTATATGGAAATTAAGTTCTGGTAATAGGCATTCAGGAGCTCCTAGTGCAATAGTATTTTGCTGTGCCCGTTCAGACCCCAATCGCCTTGTCATATAAAATGGTGACAGATGTCTGACTACCACAATTTGAGTTCTGGGTTCAGAAAGGGAGAAATGTGAAGAATAAATTAGGCAACTTCTAACTGAGGTAACACTCTGTAAACTATAGTACTTCCTTTT